ATTTCATCTTTTTAACCCCAACAACATAATCATTTCTAGTCATACAAAATTGAAATGTAATGACCAACAAATAAATAAAATACAAACTAACCCTAATGACCAACAAATAACTAACCCTAATGACACCTACAATAAACAAAGAACCCTAATGACCAAAATAACTAGAAACCAAACTAACCTAACATGTTCAAAGACATAAAACAGCTTAAACAACAATGCACTCAATCATCCTAAGCCATACATTTTGCAAATGCAAACACAAATATACCAAAACACCATACACCCATGATTCCACATGATTAGGGACAATGTAAGCACATCTACGCTGGATAGAATGGAGGATGGGAGGACCATTACCTCGAGGAAGCTTGGGAGCCGAGATCGTGGCACCTAGGGTCGATTTTGGAGCCTAGGGTTTGGTGTGGCGCGCTGGGAGAAGAGAAAGAGAGAGAGGTCGGTGGTTTCAAAATGGAGGGAGGAAGAAGAAGGGGCCTCGGCGCTGCCTCAAGGGACCGGACCTCGGCGTTGAGTCGGGCCGCCGCCGAGGTCCGGAGGCTCGGCGTTATGACCCAACGCCGAGCCATCGGGCCACCGTGGCGTTGTTGGGCCGCCTGGGCCAAGCTCCGAATGGTGCCAATAGCTCGGCTACCGGCCCCAGCCGCCAGCCGAGGTTGGGCTCTTGGCGTTGGATGACACGACGCCGACGTCTCGGGACCCCACGCGCCATCAGGTCGCCGACGACCCCCCGGCGTCCGTGACGACGCAGCAATACCTCGGCGCCAGTGTCACTCGACGCCGACCCCATACCTCAAGGCGTCATGTTCTAAGACGCCTAAAATGGTCTATTTTTAGAAAATATTTTGGCGTGAGTATTTTTCTAAAATTTGTTTTCAAAAGAGACCAAAATACAAAAATTTCACACGAAACAACGGAATTGGCTGTCACCTACTCACCTCACCAAGTATAGGTGATCCGCTCCACCAAACGCTAGTTGTGTACTATTTATTCATTTATTATTAATTACAATCGGTCCCGCCTACCGCAGCTATCACCTGCTGATTTTGAATTTATAGACGTCATTTGTAGTTGGCCTGACAATTTTAAGACCATTTCTTTGAGCAAAATTTTAGAACATTTCATTGCATTGCTAGTTTGACAAACAGTTTTTTTTCTTTTTTTTCTCCTTTTGCTTGGCAAAAGCTAAGATTCGATGCCAGGTGCAAACAAGTTGCATTCCTGTCAGCCTGTGGTCGTCGAGAATTAATTCTTCGAACTTCGAACAAGCACGGTGGTCACGGTTTGCAGGGCTTCTAGCCTCGGTGTATGGAAGTATACTTAACCTGAAATCCTGTAATTTTTCGAATGAGTCGCAGGTATTCGGGGCCGACCGGCGCGGCGACGTGGTACCGACGAGCCTTAGCTCCGAGGTCATGATTTCTTGCAGTCGCAGACGAGCATACTAGTATTTTTTTCTTTTGTTTTGGAGAGACATATTGTAGCACCACAGTGTTGCAGCTTCGCTTATATATTGTAGTAGTTAGGTGTCTAAGGTACGTATGTGATAATCGGTAACTTTGGGGACATTTCTAGGGGGCGCCTAAGCACCGACCCGGGTGGCACATACCGGCTGCCGACCCCCAGGGGAAATAATTAGCGCCTGCACGAGCTTCACGTAGCTGGGCCGAATTCAATTGATTTCTTGGACCTTCAGAGACTGTTCCACGCATCATGCAGCGAATCAAGGAGCAGCCATGCAGTAAAGACAGAAATGCTGCCGTCAGCATATCCCATGCTTTTTGAAGTAAAAAAAAAGTCGTAGCTCCTAAACCAAGTGTTTTAATTGAAATCCGATTGCACCATCGTGTTCCTTGCAATAAACTTTTCAAAACAAGACCCCCACATGGATACATTTCGATAAAAAAATTTAACAAATGTTTATCTCATGATGAATATGTATTTAAAGATAATCGTTGAACATCACTTTAACACTACACGAACATCACAAAAAATAGCATAGAATACTATACGTATACTACGTGAACATCACCTATACAATGGAATATAAAAAAATAAAAAATAAATTAGTGAAGTAATTAATTATAGTCAAATAAAAATAAGAAAAAAAATGCTACCGAACATCATAAATATATCGTATAACATCACATTAACACTACACGATCATTACTAAATGTAACATAAAACATCATATGTATACTACGTGAACATCACATATATCATCAAATGTAAAAAAATAAAAAAATAATAAAAAATAAAATTAGTGAAGTAACTAATTATAGTCAAATAAAAAGAAGAAGAAATGCCACCGAACATCACAAAATATATCCTAGAACATCAATTTATACTATCAAACATCACAAATATATCGTAGAACATCGCATTAACACTACACAAACATCACTAAATATAGCATAGAACATTATATGTATACTACGTGAACATCACAAAATATCATGAAAATATGAAATAAAATAATAAATTAGCGAAGTAATTATTTAGAGTCAAATAAAAAGAAGAAAAAATGCTGCCGAACATCACAAAAAATATCCTAGAGCATCAATGTATACTTACTGAACATCACAAAATTATCATAGGACATCACATTTCTACTCGTGCACATAAAAAATACATCATAGAACATTATATATACACTATATGAATATCGTGTGTATGTGTAAATAAAAAAATAAAACATAAAATTATAAATAGAAAAATAAAAGGAAAATAAAATAGAATAAAATACGAAAATAGAAAAAAAAGAAACAAAAATAAAAATAAAAAACCACCGAAAAAGAAAAATGAAAAAAGAAGAAAATAAAAGAAAAATAAAAAATAAATAAAAGATGAAAAGAAAGAAAAATAAAAAATAAAAAAATAAAACATGAAACATGAAACAAATAAAACCATAATTAGAAAAAAGAAATAAAAGAAAGATTAAAAAAACAAATAAGAATGAAAAAAGCTTACGTACCTCGACAGAGTCGGAATGACAAGAAAAATGATAAGAAAGAAAAAAGAGAAACAAACATAAAAGGGAAATAAATATAAGAAAGAAAAAATAAAAAGAAAAGCATACGTACCTATACCGTGCCGGCGTCGAAATCGAATGGAAAGAAAAAGAAAAAAATCCACATTACCTCCTTCAACTTTCGCGAAAGTCCGCTTTTCCTCCCTGAACTCCAAAACCGGGCAAAACACCTCCCTCAACTTTTAAAACCGTTCATCTTACCTCCTTAACCCTGTTATAAGCAGTTTTGCAGGCGGTTTTGTCTTTTTTTTTATTTCGGCTGAATCTTTGAAAAATCATAGTAAATCATAGAAAAATCATAAAATAGAAAATTCAATTTTGTTAGACTCCACATGAGTAGATCTACACAGTGAACATATAATATGGTATGCTTTAGTACAAAATTTTTACTGTGGCTTTAGATCTATGCTTTTCTGTAATTAATTAGAATAATTCACAGCTACAGTTTTTATGGTCTAATTGTGATGAAATTTTTATGATGGGCTAATTATTGTATGATTGAACTGTAGTAAAAATTTTATACTCATTGGATCATGTATAGCTTAGTTATATATTTATTTATATTTAACAAGCATAAACCTAAATAAAATCTATAACTAGACCAGCTAGCTATACACATCCCCACATATCAGCTACACTTCTCGTTTTTGAGTGAAACCAGACCAGCTAGCTATACATGAGTACAGAACGAATTGATAAAAGGTTAATTGGTTAAATTTTAGACTATGAGATCTAAATAGGACCTTAGAGAGTGACCTTTCCTTTTCTTCTCCTCTCTTATATCTAGGAGTATCCTTTAACTAGTTGATGTTGATGTGTAAGCATTCACCTCATGTCTTCTTCATCTAACAAACAATAAGAGGCTATTTCTTCCCAAACAAATAAAAAAACAATAAGAGGCTACATCTTGTGAATCAAGGCCTCATGCACATCGATTGGGCCGTGCTACACGCCTACACACTTGTGGGCTATATAGTCTTAGTTTATGTGAAGGGACAATCGGCCCAACACTACTGCATGCGTCTGAAATAATTAGTAGCTCGTGCAAATTGAAAATAAATCGCAAAACCGCTGAAAAGAAATTCAATTTTTGAAACATGATCTACCTACTACTAGTTGTGGCGTTTTATGTTCCAAAAGTTATGAACATCAAATTTGAAGGAGCGATACAATTAAGCGAAAAGAATCACAATTGGAGCGATACTGATAAGCAAACCTGTAGAATACGTACAGGTTGTGGTAAGGTCATATCATAATTCATCGGAACAGAGTACATCTCAAACTTTTTACATAATAGAAGCACAATATCTACACGCCATATATATTTGTACATCTGTATCCGGACAGTTTGAACTAGCTAGCAATCCATGCATTTCCTTCTCTTCACCATCAGCACACGGGAAAACCTTCAATAATCACATATATATGCACAACATTGTGCATGCATGGTAACCTGCCAAAAGTAAAATAAAACTCGTCGATCACTTGATCGAATTGAATATTTGTAGAGTAACACACCATCAAAAAGTTTGAGAGAATACATACAGCTACCAAACCAGGTAGCATATATAGCAGCATCCCATGTAATTACTGGAGACGCTTGGAGCTTAAGTTACACATGAACACATCCATCGATGGCGCGCCACACCAAATGTCCAAATAGCCTGCAACATCATCGATCAGTCGACTGAAACACGGTTGTGAGGTCCATGCCCATTGGTACATATTATTTCTTTTCTTTTTTTGGAAAAAAAAGAGAGAAAGACCCTATGTTATTTCGTCAAGAAAATTAAATTAGTTCATATATGCCCATTGGTCTCTGTCTGCATATATATTATATAGTCCGTACGTACCTCAAATATTTACCAAACAGAGACCCGATCATGTATGCAAGCACATCAACAAGCAAGCGAGGGGCGATCATCAGCCGATCACTCAGGTGGAGGTGCAGTGCTCAGAGGCGTCGACGCTGCTGACGAAAGAGGAGAACGAAGCCGCCAGCGGACGTCACCACAGCCGCGGCCCAGACGCCCACGGCGACGCCAGGCCACGTCATCACGCTGGCAACCTTCCACGCGAATATCAAGGTGAGCAGCGTGCAGAGCGCCCAGACCCTGCGCCTGAGCCCTTCCCTACGGACAGCCGCCTCCGGCGGCGCCAACAGCTCGTACTCGCGAAGGAAGCGCAGCAGCAGCAGGAGAGCGCCGTAGCTGACGATCACGAACCCTACGGAGGCGACGTCCCCTGCCGCCGACGCCCTGTAGGTGGCTGCGGCGCAGGTGGCGGTGAGGAGGACGGCTCCCGCGAGGCCGAGGGCGCCGCCTGCGGCGTCCACGCCGGCGACTCTCTGATCCGCCATCCTGCAGTCCTGCCTGCGTGCCTCTCGATCGCTGCTTCAAAGTAGTGCTAGCAGAGAAGTGATAGATGCCTGGAGAAAGTCCTGAGTTTTTGCTAACTATCTCCAACAATGCCACCTAAAATATAAATATAAGACCTATTGCATGTTTGGTTAACGCTACATATAAATGGTTCAATATCTATTTTTGATCTTCCCCAATAACAAGACCTAAAAGATAACCCTATCTGCAAATGGATCTATAGAAGAGAAGACACTTAGATTTATGTTATATCTCTCCTGTCACCTAAAATGGGTCTCCTGTGTTGGAGACCGACATAAAGACAAATAAGACCCATTTTAGGTTTGGGTATCCTTATGGGTCACCTGTTGAGACAGTCTAAGATCATCAAGGAGAGCCACCGCCTGCCACCCCCGGCGGCCAGCCGGCTCGTCGTCAAGTTTAAGAGGAAGATTTCTTTATATCAAAGTAGAACCCTGTAATTTTCTAACTAAATATTTTTGCATAATAAGAATCGCTTGGGCTCCTAAAAACTTCTGGCCCCGTTCGCTTCGCTGAAAAAAATAAGCTGAAATACTATTCCGACTGATTTGTTGTGAGAGAAAAATACTGTTCTGACTAAAAAAAAAGTTGAAAAATACGGATTATAAGAGAAACGAACAGGGCATATAGGTTGCAGGCTTAACGCAGGCAGTTGAATTCAACGTACGTACATGATTTTTTTTTTTTTTTGAAAAAATGGTTCACACACCACGACTTTCGTGAATGAAAGCGTGAAAGATGGACACGCTACCTTCGCTTGCTTACATTGGAAGGCAAGCAACATGTAATAATTAGTCTCTTCTTTTCATTTATCTAAAATATAATTTCGGAAAAGAAAAAGAATAAAGGAGGATTCCAACATGGGTTTGGCCCACCAAGGACTGCCATGGTAACTGTCAGCTATACGTTTTTTTTTTTTTTTGAGACAAAACTGTCAGCTATACGTGGGCCTTGTTGACCGTTCCTCCGACAAAGGACGAACCGTGGGCCCAACTGAAGCTAACGTTTATCGGGCTTTCGGCCCAACCAGACACAAGCTCTCGATCCTGGAATGTGGAATCCACTGTCGGTCCAGTGTTTTTGTTTTTTCGAGTCAAAGGAGGCAACGATTTTTCCGGTTTATTAGTGGCACATGCTGAACTGAACGTGTGGAAACGACAAAAAAAGAAGGCACACACGCGTTACATGCACGACGATCCACATCCACGCCTCACACGCGTTCGTGTTCAGCTAATATTTGGCTAAACTTTGTTCAAAATTTAACTGAGGGGCTTGAGGGTTATGAATGGATTATAATTCCACTTTTTTATCCAAGGAAGAACCCGTGTGATGATTTGAACTCTAGAGTGAAGTAAGAAGTCGAATTGAAATGAACTTTTTTCTTCATATAAAACGTTGTTTCAGGTCTAGTTGAGTTGGGCGGATTCAGCCAATTTTAATCAGTTCCCGGACCCTATCCCGACAAGCTGAGACTCTTTTTTAAAGTACAGTACAAACACAGCTCAATACATGCATGTATACTCAACTCACCCTTATGAACACACTTACACATTATACCTCGAGATTGATTAAGGCTGTGTGTTTGGGACCATGGCGTGGCGAGATTGATTAAGGCCGTGTTTGGGACCATGGTGCGGTATAGCGACCGCGGCGGCCACCCCGCGGCACAGAAAACGCTAGTGCTAGTTCAATCTCGTGGTGGCTGTGTCACTCGCGGCAGAAAGAATCATCGATACCACAAGATGTATGTTTGGCAAGATTTTCTCGATTTTAATTGGAAATAAACACGCCCTAAGTCATCCTAGATGCCTTGCCATAGATGTATATGTCGTCCATCACTTAAATAACAGTGTTATTAAAATCTATAATAAATCAAAAAATATGATCACCTAGGTCAAGTATGACTACTTAACTCGAATAAATAGGTCCTATCCTAAAGAACCTGAACCTAGCCAACTCAGCTCGCAACAAAGCATGGGTACCTTGGCAGGCCCCTTCCCCGCTAGACTTGTTGTACACCGTTGGTCACATTTGCGATTGTGACAGTGACCAACTACTGTCGTGAGAGACTTTGATTTGTTTATTTGAGCTGTGGTTTTTGAGCTTTCGGCTAAAAAAAAGCTGTTTTTTTCTACTTTCTATTAATGTTTGTAATATAATTTTTTAAGTATACCAAAAACCAGAACAATTCTTCTCAACGTGTTTTTTAAACTTTTAGTTTTGTCCTAAGAAGACAGCTTTCCGGCTTTTCGAAAGCCGGTTCAAAGTTAGGAGTAGACTATTTGGTTTAGCTTGAAAGCTGGTTCAAAGTTAGACTATTTGTTTTAGCTTGCCCGAGACCACCGAAAAGCTAGAAAGTAGGCCCTTTGACGCTTGACGGTGCAGATCCTATTCCTATCCAGGACAGCGGGCGGAGACGGAATTGTATATAGACGTGCTGAATGGAATGTCCAGCAGCGCGCACGTTCGCTGGCCATTATGCGCGGTGCGTGTCACAGCTCACAACCACGTTGTGCAAGGTGTGGTCACTGGTCAGCCGATTAGCCGAACCCGAACGGAACACTGGCCACGCAACCTGTGTAAACCAGCTTATACTTTTATTGCAGGCGCGCATGTAGCGCAGTGGCAAAGCCCGGTTCTGCACCGCTTGCTTCGTGTCCGTACGTAAGTTCAGATACTACGGCTTGTATTTGAAGGGATAAGGCATAAAAAAAACTTATACTTTTATTATCGCAACTAGTGCACTGGGGGGAATACAGGTAAAGTACATAAAGGAAAAGGGGAAAATGAATATATCCGACAGCCGTAACAGTGTCTCGCCTATGGCTGAATGTTCGATCAATCAATTGAGAAAAAATGCCCAGAACCCTCCTGCGGCCGTGACGACGGCCATGACCCAGACAGCCACGCGCACCGGTGGCGGCATGAGCGGCGCCACCCTCGAGGCGAACATCACCGTCAGGAGCGTCGTGAGCGCCCACACCGCGGCCCTGATCTTGGTATCCCTCCTGCGCCCGACTCCCTGCTCGAACTGACGGAGACAGAGGAAGAGCAGCCAAAGCGCGACGTCCGCGGCGAGCACGAATCCCACGGAGCCGGCGTCGCCCCAGGAGTTGTAGATGGCGAACGCCGAGTTGAAGGCCAGGGCGCCCAAGCCCAGCTTGGTCAGGGTGGAAGAACGTCGGTCGGCCATGTGAAATGGAACGATGTTCCGCGCGCGGAGAGGGGGACAAAGACAGCGCAAGAGTTCATATGTTGAACAACTACTCTGCCGGGGCAGGGGCCGGGGAACGAATGGCGCCGGGTGTGCTTTTATAGGGGGACACGCTCCGCAACTGGCCAATTGTATATCGATGCTTTGAAGCTTGGAATCATTTGCGTAAGACTTCCGAGGGCGCTCGTCAGAAGCGTAGGAAAATCCCCGTTGTCCTCCTGAAGATTGACATTGCCAAGGCGTTTGACTCGGTCGCATGGCCGTTTCTGATTATCCTGTTGTCCACTGCCAGTACCAGGGTACTTGTGAATGGTAAAGCTGGTAGAAGAATCGCCCATGCAAGAGGGTTAAGACAAGGTGACCCTATATCGCCGATGCTCTTCGTCATTGTTATGGAGGCACTGAACTCTCTCTTCAGAGAGGCTGACCGACGCATCGCGTTGACGCCGCTACCTGGCCAGGCGATCGCTCATCGTGCATCTCTGTACGCCGACGACTTGGTGCTCCGGCCTGGTCGCCCCCAACACAAATGACCTGCAGTGCGTACTACAAATACTACAGCTATTTGCTGGGGCATCAGGTCAGGTGACTAATGTGGATAAATGTGTCGCTATGCCGATCCGGTGCTCTTCCGAAGTGATGGTGGATGTCCAGCAGACATTCCCTTGTGTGGTGGCACAATTCCCCTGCAGGTACCTCGGTGTTCCACTGTCTTTGTCGCGGCTGAGGCATGCTGATGAGCAGCCGCTCGTCGATGTTGTGGCAGCAAGGATTCCTACATAGAAGGCAGATCTCCTAACGCATTCCGGGCGCGTCTTGTTGACGAAGGTGACCCTGTCGGCAATACCCATCCACTTGAGCATCTCTTGTTGCTTGTCCAGATGGGCCCTGGATCAGATTGACAAGCGTCGCCGTGCGTTTCTGTGGTCGGGCATGGCTACGACCACCGGTGGGAAGTGCAAGGTGGCTTGGCCGGTGGTTTACAGGCCGACATACCTTGGGGGTCTTGGAGTCTTGGACCTGCGTTTTTTTGGTTTTACACTGTGGCTACAGTGGAGTGGCTGAGCAGGACGGCTCGAGGAAGCTGCTGGTCCTGGTCCAGCCTGCCATCGAGGCAGGAGAAGTCCGTGGCAGCTATGGCCGTCGTCAGCATCACGGTGAACATCGGCGACGGGGCATCCTATGGGACCTTTGTGTCACTACGCCCCAAATCTGTACATGGCTATCTCAAGGGCAGGGAAGAAGAGGACGATCAAGGATGGCATCTTCCAGCACCGTTGGGCGCGGGATATCGTGGGCACGCCGACCATGCAGGTGCTCGTGCAGTACCTCCGCATGTGGAGTCTTTTCCGCGGGGTCGTCCTCGATCCTTTGCAGGAAGACCGCTTTGTTTGGAGATGGACCGCTGATGGCAAGTACTCGGCGTCGTCCGCGTACAGGGCTTTCTTCGCCGGATCAGCTTCGCTGTTGGGAGCTAAGGAGCTATGGAAGACTAAAGCGCCAGCGCGTGTCAAGTTCTTTTTTCTGGCTTGCGCTGCACCACCGGCTTTGGACCGCGGAGCGTCGCAAAAGGCATGGCCTGCAGGATGATGATGCTTGTGTCCTCTATGGCCAGGAGTCAGAGACCGCTGATCATTTGTTCATCAGCTGTGTCCTTACCAGGGAGATCTGGTTCGCGCTGCTGGCGCCGCTCGGCTTGACGGTGCTTGCTCCGGGACATACTGAGGATGCGACTTCTTGGTGGCTCCGTCAGCGTCTCCGGATCGATGCAGCGGGTCGACCGGCTTTCGACTCAATGATGCTGCTCATCTCCTGGGTCATCTGGAAGGAAAGGAATAATATTCTAGTATATCAGTTTCCATCCCTATTCCCCAACAACAACGCCCATTGTTCTGGACCACAGTATGGGCCGGGAGAGGACCGACCCGAGTCCGCGACGACGAGGTGGTCTCCAGACGAGTCCTCGTGTCGCTCTGTCCGGAAATTCCCGCGAGCGGACCACGCGTCGACGCCCCTAACTGTGCTTGCATTGCAGCGTTAGAAAGAACCAGTAACGCATGGACGATTTGACGGCCCTGGAACGGTCGGAAATGCATGCCAGGCTACACTACAACGACTCAACGAAAATTTAATTTTACATTGTTGTTGTCAAAAGTGTGAAGGGGCTAACATTTATTTACCGTAATCCTCATGGTTTATATAGATATACAAAAAAGTAGTAAAGTTCACACTGATGTAGGACACGCCTCCGGATGCCACCTACGGTACGGAACCTTAGCTACTACGGCGCTCTACGATTTGGACACCATTCCGATCTCCCTTCTCCTTGCTTGCTGTGCGGTGTGCTTGCTATAAATTTCCCCCACGTCCCAGGATGACGCAACGGGGACTTTCCTGACTAGCTAGCTTTTAGGCTCTGCTGTGTCAGTGTGTGCTGTCTCACGATTTCGTCACTTTCGGTGTGAACATTCGAGGCAAGATCGATGCAGGTACAACTGTACAACCAAAGAGGCCAAAAAAAAAAAAAAAAGGTCTGCAGCACTATGAGATGAGAACGCGAGTTGTTAAAACAAAAGCGCAGGAGAAACAGCGCTAAGAAAAAACTTTCTTCGTTTTTAAGCTATGATATGTACAACCGAACACAGACCACTATATAAACAATTTATGTTTGTCGCTCTAAAAACGAAGGAGTGATTCTTTATGTTTACAGAGACAATTGCTCTCTTGACTTTCGAATACATAGTTTCTTTATCAATGTACACTGCTTTCCCTATACGTACGTTCAACTCATAAATGGTCGCCATATATCAAGCAACTGAACCAAGCCCGTCGTTTTTTTTTGGAGGACTGAACCAAGCCCGTCGTGTAAGGCATGCATGAAGACGGTATCATAGACCCTTCGTGGACATTGCTTCTCTTTCTAATAAAATTTTTATAGCAAAACTATTACTGCCTTTTAAAAAAATAGGACCTACTACCTACGTCCTTAAATAAATCAATTCATAAAACCATTTGAAATCAAATTATCTTAAGTTTATCCAACTTTATAGAAAAGGGTAACAATATCTATGACACCAAAAAAATATTATGAACATAAATATTAATGCTCTTTCCCATAAAGTTAGTCAAATTTAAAATAGTATGACTTAGGACAACTATAAAAGTTGTTTTAATTTACGATGGAGGGAGTAATAATTAAGCCTACCTAAAATTATTTTGAGCTTCATATTTTTTTGTTGGCCAATACAGTAAATGAGCCGCATTAAACGACGTTTGTACATCTTCATCATCCCGTTGAGTATCCAGCTGCCTCGAAGAACTTACCAATTATCGATTTGTACATCTTCATCATCCCGCATTAAACTAGAAAGTTGTAGCGCCACGCCATCCAGACTGGCGTGGCAAGGTGCAACATTAAAAAAATTGTATCTTTTTTCATACGATCTCCAATCAAGATGATCTTTATATGAAAATTACAGCTCTCAACGAGATCTACATCTTTCTAGTTTTGAGGTTTTCATTTGAGGTCGTTAAGATGCTCAAAAAAATTAAACAATGTTTTAGCAGTATATTAATCGCGTACCAGCGCTGTCGTCTTGGAAAAATCATATCGTTCTTATATGGTGTCAAATGGAGATACTTTCTATATGAAAGTTGTAGCCCTCGATGGGATCTACAAATTTGTAGTTTTGAGTTTTTGCATTTGAGATCATTAAGATGCTCAAGAAAAACAATATAAAGTTTTAACATCGTTTAATTGCGTACAAGCACTTGTCGTCTTGGAAAAATCATATCTTTCTTATATGGTGTCAAATGGAGATACTTTCTATATGAAAGTTATAGCTGTTGGTGAGATCTACAAATTTATAGTTTTAGGTTTTTTCATTTGAGATCATTAAGATGCTCAAAAAAATAATATAAAGTTTCAGCATCGTATTAATCGCATACAAGCACTTGTCGTCTTGAAAAAGTCATATATTTCTTATATGGCGTCAAATGGAGATACTTTCTATATGAAAGTTATAGCTGTCGGTAGGATCTATAAATTTATAGTTTTGGATTTTTACATTTGAGATCATTAAGATGCTTTAAAAAAATAATATAAAGTTTCATCATCGTATTAATCGCGTACAAGCACTTGTCGTTTTGGAAAAAATCATATCTTTCTTATATGGTGTCAAATGGAGATACTTTCTACATAAAAGTTGTAGCTCTTGATGAAATCTATAACTTTATATATAGTTTAAATTTTTTCATTTGAAGTCGTTATCTTTGGCCTGCGACGTTACTAGGCATGTTTAAAACAAACTTGAACAAGTGTTAAATTTTCACGCGGCACTGCCGCGGTACGTGACAAGCTCAAGTTCACAATTCAAATTCTACCCAAAAAAATTTAGTCAAATAAATTATTAAGCTTCCTAGGGCAGAGTTGAGTCTAGTTCACCACCTGAAAGTTCGATAAGATCTGCAACTTTATAGTTTGATTTTTCCATTTGAGGTCATTAAGATGGTAAACAATAATATAAAGTTTTAGCAGTATATTAATTATGTACTTGAGCTTAACGCCTCATAAAAATCTTTTTCTGGTGCGTGCAACACATGCTTGACCATTAGTTAAAGAGAAAAGTACCCTTTTTTAGATACAAGAAAATATGACTAGAGAATACGGCTACACTAAGCGATAAAAGGAATATGTTAAGATCGTAGTTTAATTTCTAAGTTTACTAGATCTCGCTAATTTTACAATTAACGATGTCTATTGTTGCGTAACTTTTTTTTACCATCTTTGCATAAAACTTTTATGCTAAGCGATGACGAAAGTGTAGTGAGATAGTAATCGTGTGTGACTAAACTATCTACCATCAGCCTAACAAATCAATCATCTTCATCCGTTTTTTGGTAGTACTTGAATTCCCGAGTCGACTTTCGATTAGTAATCAGTCACATCACGCGCCGAAGATAATGACCTCAAATGCAAA